AGAGCTGTCTCAAAACAACAATCACTATGCTAGGTTAGAGTTTTCCAAAAACTCTTTTGAGAAAATTATACTTTCTTATTTTCCGTGTTATATTGTTTTTACTGAATTTTTTAAATATTTTAAGTATTTTTTAAAATTTTTAGACACACCTAACATAAATACACCTAAAAATTTAAAAAATTGTAAAAAAAATCTTTTAAAAATTCACTAAATACCAAAAATACAATAATTCAATACATTTTTTTTTGTATTTTTATATATTTATTAATTTTTAAAAATATTTTTCATAATTTTTTTTAGATACATCTAAGTAAGGTGTATCTAAAAAAAATATTTAAAAATTTAAAAATATTCACTAAAAATTAAAAAAAAAACACAAAAGTCACTTTTTGCGACGGCAGAAAATGCCGTCTCAAAAAAGCAGAACATTTGTGACGGCACAATTTGTCGTCTCAAAAAATGAGAGTATTTGCGACGGTATTTAGTGCCGTCGCAAATGCTCTGCTTTTTTGAGACGGCATTTTCTGCCATCGCAAAAAGTGACTTTTGTGTTTTTTTTTTTTGTTTTTAGTGAATATTTTTAAATTTTTAAATATTTTTTTTAGATACACCTTACTTAGATGTATCTAAAAAAAATTATGAAAAATATTTTTAAAAATTAATAAATATATAAAAATACAAAAAAAATGTATTGAATTATCGTATTTTTGGTACTTAATGAATTTTTAAAAGATTTTTTTTACAATTTTTAAAATTTTTAGGTGTATTTATGTTAGGTGTGTCTAAAAATTAAAAAAAATACTAAAGATATTTTAAAAATTCAATAAAAACAATATAACACGGAAAATAAGAAAGTATAATTTTCTCAAAAGAGTTTTTGGAAAACTCTAACCTAGCATAGTGATTGTGGATTTGAGACAGCTTCATATGTATACAGTCACAAAATGGTTTGAATAAATTCTAGTATTTTTTTCTGTCGCAAAAAAAATTAAAAAAAAACAATATCGTCTTACTCTTTTGATATAACATTTCTCTTTTCATTCATTTTTTCATCTTCTTGTCTCTCTGTCTCTATCTCTATCTCTTATCTTTATCTTTTTCACTTATCACTCTTTTTTCTCTGTCTGTCTGTTTCTCTCTCTCATTTTCTCTCTGTGTCTCTCGTCTATCTCTCTTCTCTCTATCTCTCACATCTGTTTTCTCTCGCTCATCTCTATTCTCTCTCTCTCTTATCTTTCTATCTCTCTCACTCATTTCTCTTCTCTCTCTTTTTCTGTGTCTCTCTCTCGCTCATCTCTTTTCGTTCTATTTCTCTCTCTTTTTGTCTATCTCTCGCTCATCTCTTGTTTCTCTCTCTTTTTCTATCTCTCTCTCTCCCTGTCTCTCTCTCACTTATCACTCTTCTCTCTCTCTCTGTCTACTTGTCTATTTGTCTATTTCTCCCTCACTATGTTCGTCTTGCTCGTTCTCTTACTCCCATCTTCTCTATTTATCGAGCTCATTCTCAATTTATCGATCTACTATAAACGACGTCGCCTTACTTTTTTGAACATTTCTCTTTTCACCCATTTTTTCATCTTCCTATCTCTCTGTCTCTGTCTCTGTCTCTGTCTCTGTCTCTCTTCTCTCTCTCTCTCTCCCTCTCTTACTCATCACTCTTCTCTGTCTGTCTGTCTCTCTCTTTCTCTATGTGTCTCTGTCTCTCTTTTCTGTCTGTCTCTCTCTCTCTTTCTCTCACTTATCACTCTTCTCTGTCTGTTCGTCTCTCTCTTTCTCTCTGTGTCTTTGTCACTCTTCTCTTTCTCTCTCTCACTTATCACTCTTCTTTGTCTGTCTGTCTCTCTCTTTTCTCTGTGTCTCTCGTCCAGCTCTCTTCTCTCTATCTCTTTTATCTCTCTCTCTCTGTGTCTCTCACTCATTTCTTTCTCTTACCACTCATCTCCTCTACCATCTTCACCACTACTGCAAACGTCATTTCATTACCACCACTACTACCACGGTCGCCATTTCACCTTTACGACTACCATTATTACTACCATCGCCACCACTCCACTACCACCACTACCACTATTGCCACTACTACTACTACCATTACCTCTCTTTCATCACTGTCACTCCATCTATTCTACTACTACCACAACTTCACCACTAATCTCCTTCGCCATCACCACCACCACCATCGTCTCTTATCCACCACCTTCACCACTACTGCCGCTTCGTCTCATCTACTACAAAATATTACCTCTCTTCTCTCTCTCACTTATCACTCTTCTCTATCTGTCAGTCTTTGTCTCTGTCTCTTTCTCTTTCTCTCTTTGTCTCTCGTTCATCTCTCTTCTCTCTATCTCTCTCATCTCTCTATCTCTCTTCTCTCTCGCTCATTTATCTTCTCTCTATTTCTCTCTCTGTCTCTCTTGCTCATCTTTCTTCTCTCTTCGTCTCTATTTTTCTATGTCTTTCTCTCGATCATCCCTTTTCGCTCTATTTCTCTCTCTCTTTGTCTATCTCTCGCTCATATCTTGCTTCTCTCTATTTTTCTATGTCTCTCTCTATCTCTTTCTCTCTCTGTCTCCTTGTCTCTCTCTCTCTATGTCTCTTTCTCTCATTGGCCACAAAAAATTAACTTTATTTTAATGGAAAATATTATCCCTACTTCTACCAAATAAAAAAATAATAATAATTTTATATTCATTTAAATAAATATGAAACAAATAAATTTTTAACCTTACTAAATGAAAAAATAAAAATAAAAATAAAAATTCATTAACTATAAAAAAATTATTTTAATAAAAAATAATTTTTTTTAGCAATGACATCCTCCGTTGCGAAAAAAAAAAATCCTTTTATTATTTAAATATTCATTTGTAATGCAAATTAGAAAAAAAAAAATCAAAAAGAAAAAAATTCATAAAAAAATCAAAAAGAAAAAAATTCTTTTTTTTTTCCCCTCTTTCAAATCTAACCGTCCATCTCTCACTCACCATCTCACTCACCTATAACAAACAAAACAAAAGAAAAAAAAAACCTAATCTATAATCGACTCCCTCACTCTCTCTCTCTCTCTCTCAGTCACACCATCACTCACTCACCATCTCACTATCTCTCTTTCTCACTCTCTCGTTTCTGGCAGCCGATCATTCAACATAGAAACTTCCTGCACCGATCACTCTCTTTCTCATCTCATCGCACCGATCATCATCGCACAGCCGATCAATCTACTTCACAGGTAAACTCTCTCAATCTCTGTCTCTCTCTCTCCCGATCGTTGATTTTTTTTGTTTTATATATATATATATCAGATATGCATCTCTCTGATCTGATCTGATCTGATATGTCTCCCTCACTCTCTCATCTCATCAGTCTTACACTCACTCTCTGGTTTTGCATCTCTGCACCGATCGACTCACACACAAGTAAGCGTCTCTCTCTCTCTCCCTGATCTCTCATCTCTGATTTTTTGTGGACCAACAGATCTGATTTTTGTTGTGGACCAACAGATCTGATTCGAAATATGATCTTAGTTGTGATCTGATTTTTATGACCTTAGTTCGAAATATTTATGATCTGATTTTTGTTGTGGACCAACAGATCTGATTCGAAATATGATCTTAGTTGTGATCTGATTTTTATGATCTTAGTTCAAAATATTTATGATTTGATTTTTGTTGTGGACCAACAGATCTCAGTCTCACCGATCACTTGGTTTGGTTTAGGTGCACATTTTCTTGGAAATTTCACTTGTTAATTTAGTGAAGGAAACATTGCTTTGTTGAGTAGTAAAAGTTTGGCTGCCAAGTGTCAAATGTGGGTATGATTAAGAAAGGCAGCCACTTCATAAAACTTTAGCCAAAAGATTAGTTTTTTATGGGTCTTACCTCTCACAGTGCCCTTGATCAAGGGAGGCCATAAGTGGAGAATGACTTTTTTGTACTCCTTTATTTAGTCTCAATATAAGTATATTTATGTTCAAGTATGCTCGTGTGCCATGAACAGAATATTGAACTAGCTAGTATGCTATGAACAAACATGTTGACTTACTTTTGGTTTTGCTAAGTCTTTATTTAAACGTTCAAGTAATAAAGATACTTCTCCATTCGATTATAAAAATTAAATAAAAGATTCTTAACCAATTGGTTGACAAAAAAAGAAATTGTCTTCATCAATCAACTGTTTCAATGTTCTCAGAGGTGCCAGGGGAAAAATGTTTTGGCAATCTTGTGTTATGTCCTTATGTGTTAGATGACTAATAATTGAAGGTTGAGTCAACTAGTCCATCCCAGCTGAAAATTTATTGAAAGATGGAAGGTTAGGCTGGTTTGATGTGTCCAACGGGACGAAATATATATAAGTTGATCTACTTTTTGCTTTCTTTAAAATGAGCATGTTAACATTTAGTTATTTAAAAAAATTTCTCTCTTTGCCTAGTCAGTGTTTTATGTATAAAATATTACAAAATAGGTTAGATGGAGTTACCCCACTGGGGGTCCAAGTAGGACTGTTTCGCAAATAACATGTGCAACAAAATCATGAAAAACTTAAACAAAAAGATTTTTATAAAATTATAGTTACTTTTTCATTCTTTCACTGATTTGCAATTTGTCAAAAAAATTTCCACTTGGCTCTTTCAATTCAAGTGGAGGATAGCATAACAACTTTATCATCCTCACAGTCGTCATTGATAAATAACTGAGAGTTTGATTGGTTTTGACATATATTTGCAACTTGATGTGGTATGACACACTCCAAGCCATGTGAAGATGTTGCTGCTGAGCTTTCAATAACCTACCCACAAACAAGGTCTCTTTTGGCTTTTTAAATTTTAAATTTGTTTTTTTTCCCCTCCAGGAGATGATTGTTATAAAATTTTACTTATACAAAATGACTATATAGACCATGAGGCCATTTTGGATTAAGAACAACGTCTATATTTAGTCTGAAGTTATTGGCCACTGAATTTGGCTCGTTACACCTGACTAACTACCATATATAGATTTAATTGTAATCACATATTAGTATTCTTCTCACAATTCTTTATGATGGACCTTCTGCATGTGAGTTCTTACAAAATAAATTTGTGTATTCTACAATCCAAGACAGGTAGGAACCCTTTAAGTCCAACCCTTCCCACTCCCATCAGACATGAAAAAATTCCCCAGGTATATTACAATAAGAGTTTATTACACTATTTTGGACTACATTGAATTCCATTATTATTATTATTATTATTTTTTGTGAGCAGGGAAAGCTTTGGTTTCTCCAATTGAGAGATATGCAGTTGTTCCTGATGACAACGTAAGTGTTCTTTCCACAGTCTTCATTGTCTTCATTACTGGTGTTTAAATAGTTGGTTTCTCCAAAAGATTATAATTTGCAACTGTTATCTATTTATTTGTAGGTCAAAAGGATAAATTTTGCCGAGGGGAAGATCTGATTCTAGAAGTAAGGAATTTGGAGCTTGATTTTTGAAATAGGCTCAAAATTGAGATCTTGTTGGAAATTTTTTATTTTTTGTAAGAGCATTTAAATATCCAATGTGCTGATTGGTGAATTTTAGATTTTATTTTATTATTTTATTTTTTTTAAGGATTTGGGTGAATTTTATAATTTAAATATGCTTTTATGAACATGTACAGTTTAATTGTTCTTTGTAAAATATTGAATTTGATGGTTTGATCAATTTTTATTTTTATTTTCTGTTATGATGTTTTTGTGAATGGAATGTAAATAATCAGCTCTTAGAGAGTGAGAGACGGTACCACTGTCGGAAAAAATAGAAAATTTTAATATTTTTATTAATTTTGTTACAGGTTTTACTTTTTGCGACGACATTATACTGTCGCAAAAAATAGAAATTTTATTATTTTTTAATATTTTTTGCGACGGCATTACACTGTCGCAAAAAATAAAAAATTTCATATTTTTTATACTTTCTGCGACGGCACCACACCGTCGCAAAAAACAGTGTTTTTTTTATAAAAAAAAAAGACTATTAGCGACGGTATTTTTTGCCGTCTCAAATAACATTTTTAGCGATGGTAAAATAGGACCGTCGCAAAAAAGTCAAGAAATTTCAAACGTTTTAGCGACGACACTTACCGTCGCAAAAACTCTTTTGCAACCCCTGCAGTTGCGACCCCCCTCTTGCTGTCACAAAAAAGTCATTTTGCCGTCGCAAAAAGTATTAGCGACGGGATTAGGAGTATTAGCGACGGTATTTTACCGTCGCAAAAAGTCAATTTTTTTGTAGTGTATATATATATTAGTGTCATACTCTATATACGTTCAAAATTTATAATTATAATTTTGGAATTTAAAAAATTTTCTGAAATAAATTTTGAAATGGCAATTTTATTTTCACGTAGCAAATGGCACATTTTTACGAGGGAGACCTGTGTAGGTTCTAATAGGTAAATTTATTATCAAATAGATCTTATGATAATTAATTATATTTATTATTAAAAAATGTCATTAATTATTAATTTTGAGTGACAGTTGGAAAATGTAAAAAATGTCACTAATCATTAATTTTTAACGACAGTTAGAAAATTTTGTCACAAAAAATATCACTAATTATAAATTTTAACGACAATTTAAAAACAAAAGTCAAATTTTTTAACTTTCAATGATAGTTAAAAAATTTGTCATAAAGAAATCGGTTGCGATACATGCACCAATTAATATACACACTAATGTACCAATTAGTGCTATACTATTATTATTGACCATATTTATTATACAAGTTACAATACCTAAAACCATACAAATGACGCCACATCATCTGTTAGTACACTAGTGTGTACATTAATTGATACATATAGCATTATTCAAAAAAATATCACCAATTATAAGTTTTAAAGACAATTTATAAAAATTATGACAATAAAATCATTAATTATTAATTTTTTACAACATATATAAAAAATTATTTAAATAACGGTTTTATTATGATTTATTTTTAATATCATTAAGACCATCTCTAACGCTTCATCAAACTTGATATCAAATTCAAATTTTGATGAAAAAGCTACTGTTCACTGCTCCAACGGTTGCACTAAATCCATATCAGATTGAGATTTCATCAACCAATTCATCAAACTGACGACAAGATACTGATTTCACCAAAACACTGTTGGTGACCGTTGGAGGGAGGTCCCAGTCGACCAACCGGTTGCCCGGCCGGTTGACCAACCGGTCGACCGGTGCACTATTTCAGCCCCTGGTTCGTTTGAATCTTCAGCTGGTTGGTTTGAACTGCTGACCGTTCGAGACCGTTCGAGAGCAACCGGTCAACCACCCCGTTGACCAGCCGGTTGACCACCCGGTCAACCGGGTTGGGCAATTCCGCACAGTGCACAACTTGGAGGAACAGGTTTGCAATAACATGTTTGAACTGGTTGTTTCAACTTGTTTGAGCTGATTTTTTTGGACATATGTTCATTTGTGGATTACCAATAATTTGAAGGGTGATATAAATTTAAATTTGCAATATATTTGACATACATATTTCATAACTAGCCGTTATAATAATTTACCGTTAGATGGACAGTAGATGGACAGAGTATTTTGAAAATTTACCGTTGATGATATGCTCTATAAAATAGATCTCATTTCTATATCAAGCTAATATAGTGTTTCATTTTCAGGATAGCATTTATATGTTGTGAATTTTTTTTCTTTTCAATCATTAGATATTTGTTTTCCTTGAAATTTTAATTAATATTATCTGCTTCTGAGTTTGAGTTTCATATCATTACAATATTTTTCAGTAAGTGTATTGTATTTTTTCTAAACTATGGAAGATTTCGAAATGTTTGAGGAATCACAAATGTTTGAGCACAACACTCATATTAATTTTATGTCGGAATCTTCACAAGAGCAAAACACGCAGAACAGTGATAATCATTTTATTTCAGAACCTTCTCGTGTTTCTCGTGGTAAAGCATTCACAATTATAGAAGATGAAACTTTATGTAGATCTTGGTTAGCAGTCTCTCAAGATCCCATTACTGGTAATAGTCAGAGTACGGCTATATTTTGGGAACGAGTACTTGTTTATTTTAATTCACAATTGAGCAGTGAATCAAATCGAAAATGTATTTCTTTGACTCACCGTTGGTCTGTCATACAAAAGGCAATTAATAAATTTTGTGGTTTCCTTGAACAAATTCAGCTGAGGCAACAAAGTGGAACAACTGAGGCAGATATGGTAAATTTTATTTGTGTTATTAAATATCAAATTTATTTTTTAAATGTATACTTGTTATTGAAATCTTTGTAATTTTTTTTTGTAGGTCACTGAAGCGAAGCGGATGTATCATGCAATACAGAAAAAACACTTCATATTTGATACATGTTGGGAGATTTTGAGCCAAAGTTGTAAGTGGGATGAATTTCGATAAAAAAGAAGCACGCAACATACTGATCCATGTTTGAATCCACCAAGTGAATATGAGGCTTCTCAATCTAACCAGAATAATGCGGTGCACGAACAACCATCTAATACATCAACACGACCAATTGGTACTAAGGCCACGAAAGAGAAGTTGAAGAATCAAATAACGCACGATAGTAGATTTGATGAAATGGTTGCTAACCAATTCAAAATTGTTGAAGTGTTATCAACTATCTCTGCTAGAACTATTCAGCGAGATGAACAAAAGGCGATAGACCGTGGGCAAAAGGCTGCAGAGCGTCGAAGAAGGGCCGAAGATAGGGAAGAACAACTAAAACTCCTATCTATGATGAATGAAAGAGAATAACGAAATGAAGATCATAAAATTATGTCAATGGACATGACAAATTTAAATCCTATGCAAAAGGCGTATGTAGACGTCCCCAAACGCTCCAGGAGGAACGAGTCCCGTTCTGTTCATATTGGGGTTTACTACAGTTCGGACTCTCAAATTGTCACGGTTCTAAGTCTGAACCAAAGAGTCCAAATCCGGCAAATCGTTTTGAGAAAACTGATTTTTGAAAGAAGTGCCAAACATGGATTGCTTTGCCAGATACAGAGTCGCCACCTAAATATTTTATTTTGGGAAATTTAGGAAACCCTGACTCGTTTGCCTAAGGCCACGTGTCCGTCATCACCAAAGTTGCCTCGGCTCGGGAACTTGGGTACGATTGGGGAAGGTCACTTCGTGAGCACCCCCGCTCGCCCGATCAAAGATCGGCCTCTACTAACCATGATATCTATTTTTGAAAACATTATGCGTTCTTATTCCGGTTATTAGCCTAGATTTACTATGTGATGCGCACATCATACAAGTATAGACTGGGTCGTCTGAATTAGAACAAAACATTTCATGTTTATTTTTGAAAGCGGTTTGATTGTGCTACCCGCAAGTAGGCTAAGACGTGGATTTGCCACCATCGGGTGGGCTTTAGAAAACATGATTTTGCCACTATCTATTGGGCTTAAAACTCACAGTCAACGAATTGTTCCAATCCAAATAACCCAACCTTCACCCACAGGCATTGAGGCAGTTATATCACATAAGCATATAGCCTCATGGTAAGCATGCTATCATGGCAGTGAGGAAGATATTCCTAAGACGGCATTCCGTACGCGATATGGCCACTATGAGTTTCTGGTAATGCCATTTGGGCTCACCAATGCACCGGCAGTGTTTATGGATTTGATGAACTAGATAT